ATAGAGGAGGGGACCCACTACATCCACCGCAGCAGTGGGGCACCACCTGGGTGACGCGCCAGCAGCAGATCAGGCGGAGGAGTGAGAAATTGCTTCACCAATTGAATTAAAGAGGGAACTTGAGGGAGGCCAGATTGTGCAACCCGGGTGGAGCGCTGCCAGGACACCGGGGTATTCTAAAATAGCCAAGATGAGAGCACACTTGGTCAAGATGCATTCGACACACGGCCAATTTTTATTCATTATCTGCATGTCATAGCAAATCCATTAATGTGCAGTTGAATTTAATCCCATTTAAGTGACGATGTTTTACAGTTCTCCATAACAGTGGTAACGAATCAATTTATTGTCATGGGTTTTTCTTATACTCAATGTACTTCACTGCGTGTCTCATGTCCGGAGTTTAAAAGGAATAGTGATCACATTCAGTCGTTTAGGTTTTCAGTGTTGTTGATTTTACCTTTCAAAATATACACGCTGTTCCAACCCCATATATGAAGACTTGTCTGATAGGAGACTTCATTTTCCTCTCATTTGATGTTTTTCCCGTTTGATGTCGTTTCCCGATGCGCTAATATTGTTCCGTGATGCAGCAAAACAAAGTGATGTCTATTCTACTGTATATCACTTACTGTACATCCAGGCCTCACTGGCTTTGTGGTACTGTGGCTCGGTTGTAGATACTGTATGGCAGTGGACCGGCTCATGAGCTCTGGCATATTCAAGTTTACAGCAGTCCTGATAACTTCCTACGGTCCCAACATCTTCATATTCACCCGGCGCAGAAAGTCGTCAAGTTTAAACGTTAAACATGATTAAAAACCCCTTCTTCAGGTAGTTGGAAAGACATGTATTCAAAGTGCAGTAAAGTTATCTTTGTTTACATTTTCATTTGGAACACAATTTTTGTAAGTTTGTATATATGTATATTGTATTGTTTAACACGATTGTATTATTTTAAACTGCTAAATGTTTTTTGAGTATTTAAATCTTGTGAATTACATTTCATATTCATTACATTTCAATTTCATTTAATAGATAAGATAAGGATGAACAGATCGACAGACATACGTCTGTCGATTTGTGAACATAGGAGTTCAGGTGACGCAAACTACCTGTCCTAGATTATGCTCTCTCTTAATGCAGTGATTAACGCATTTTACTGAAAGTCTTAGGTTGTGGAGATCAAAATGGAAATTAAACGTCTTACGTATTCCTGTAGCCGGATACCTGATGTTGTTTCTCTGGTACAAGTGAGGAGAGCGACAGTGTAGTTCTTTAACCCTCTTTTAAAATTGGGTTAATCGAGGTTAATTACCAACGAAACATAAATGACAGTCTCCGATGATCATTATGATAATGTGTCACTCTTGCAAAGGAAATTAGATTATCAGAAAAAGACGACTTTTTGTTGTCGATCTGTAGTTTTTGTTCAATTTTCTCAGCGTATCTGATAATCTTCGAGAATCGTATTATTTAATAATCAAAATGTGTAGAGACGCATGCAGAATAAACTGGACGTAGATGATATAGGATCATTCTGCAAGAGATGACATATTAGTTCTTCAACAGCGACCCCTTCTACGCCTCTTGAAAAAGGAAAAAAAAATACACAGTGGTCCTTAGACAAAGTCTCTTCAGGTTGTAAACTAAATGTTCCAACAGTTTATTCCGGCTACTTTCGACATGGCGAAGAGTGTGACTTTACAGACATCATTAGGAGGCTTATATATAGAGAGAAAGGTAATGTTACATATAAGAATACATTCATTAATTTATTTTTGTATTATGGGAACATTGTGAACCTTTCCCATATAAAAAGTACAAACACACAAATATAGGTAAGGGCACCGTCGTTGTAAGCCAAATACCTTGCTTAATGATGAAACTGCATGGCGTTTTAATGACATTTGTAAATCACACATCTGTGGGTGTCTGGCTCAGAGGTGCTCAGATGTGCCCGAAAAGGGTTTTGATTTTTTCTTGGTCGCTTTTCTATGCCAGTGGCATAACGAGTAAACGTTTTTATTAAAACTGGCGTTTTAACAGCTATAAATCTTTTGAGCAGCTGTCTTGAGGATTGGGTTAATTGTTAGAGAGGTCTGTAACCGGAGACGGCTAACTGACTTCTGCCGAGCAACTGCAAAACAGATACTGCCAAAGCAAGATGGATTGTCGCAGCGTAAAATATTTCTTGGTCTTTCACCTCTTTACTTTTCGCAAACAAAGCGATAAACAATAAAGATCGAGATAATGATACAGTGATGTTTCCTCTGAAATGTTTTTTTTTTGCATTTCGTATCTTGAACAGCGATTTTTAAACGTCTGCAGAGGAAACGAGAGTAAATGCGAAATTTCAGCTAGAACGTTACTGATGACTTGAAGGGAAACGCATCTTGAGTTTCTAATAGGTGCACGTTAAATGTATAAAACTGATGACACAATCGGGCACATAAAATGTAAAAACGTGAAAAACGAAGGTGGCGTATTGACACAACGTAAATGTCCTTATTAACATTTAGCAGTTATTAAGGTGGGAATTTGAGGGGACTGGGAATAAAGCATGGACCGTTTAATCCTGAAATCCTGAATGACAAAATGCTGAAGTACAAAGAATATTCGACAGGCGTCAACGTTAAAAAGCAACCTGTTATTTAACATCTATAGAAAGTCGGACATCGGAGACATTCACGTTGCGTTTCTGTCCTCTTCATGTATGTTTAATATGTACTTTTCCGATATGTTTTCCATGTCTGTTTTTAGGCTACGACAGAAACAGACCATCAAGCAAAGCTTCGGTTAAAAAAAAAGCTAATGTTTTATCATATTGCTATTAGTTGATTATTATTTGTTGTTAAGCATTATATACCAAACAGTTTAATAACGTGCCCAAATTGTTGTAAAACTATATCCAATAGTTAGCTGTTAAAAAAATGACATACTCTATATTTTGGGTTTTGTGATCTTAACTTACCTTTTGGGATTCTAGTACATCAATTGTTAAAGGCTGGAAGAACCCAGATCACAATTTTAAAGGATTATCAATACTCCGTTCTTCTGTCGGCTTTATTTTTAAGACCTAACAGTACGCAGAAGTGCATTGTACGTGTTTTAATTCAATTATATTTCTAAAGACTTAAAATTATAGTTATTATTTAAGTTTAGGATTCCGGCTTATCATTGCTTCTATTTAACATTGACATTGTAAAATATTTATGTATTGTTACTGATGAACATGGAAAGTTGTATTATTAGGAAATCTTCTGCTTAGAATGTCAGAGAAATTCAAATTATATGCCAGATAAACACTTAACATAGTGGCCTTTGGCTGACAGTGTGAAAACACACCAGTCCATCACAGTTCTCTTCAGTGTAATGAAAATCCAAAGCATAGGCTTCATACAAAATTAAACGTTTTAGAGAAAAATGACATCGTCGTTTTCCTTTTTAATGTATTTTTTTTCATTCGTAGAAGATAAACCTACTTCATCTAGTCTACCATAACATGTGAAGAAATCGAATGCTTTAATTTTTTCAAGCAAACTCCTTCAGGCGCTTTTATAAACATGATCTACAATGGTTTTGTATATCTTTCTTTGAATTCATTTTGTTGGAAAAGGTAGGGGGACATTTTCTCAAGCAAAAGAAAAATATTTATTTTCAACGTATTTACAAATGTCACTTGTAAAAATGAAAAGGAATGGTTGGGATACTGAAAAACACCAGAGAGAAAAAAGGGGGAAAAAGGTGTATTCGGTGGAAATTCGTAAATTCGTATTCACAAATAAATTAGTTATTTGGTTTACAAAACCACACACTGAGCATAACAAGAAGAAATATTTTAGGGGATAAAAGCAACAGACGAGATCGGGAACTAAAATAAATTTGGGTTATGTTTAAAAACAAAACAAAATCCAGTGAACTCAACTTTAAATAAGGTAATAACGCCAGTATCATTCCAATTTGTAATTTGAGACTCAGAAAACATAATAAGATGGAAGAAGTCATTGTTAAAGGAAAGGCACACAAAGATGTTAAATGCAGAACTGTAAAACACTTTGACACACTTTTGGTCCATAACTTACTTCTGTCACAGATATTCCCCTCTGTAAAAACATATTATTCAAGTACTTATCCTTGGAGCAAACATGTGCGCTCGCCAGAAAACACACTACATACATTTGTTTAAATCTTTTTCTTACGCGTGTCCACTCATTGGAAGTTTCCATAATTCCTGTGTGCAGATTTTGTTCACAGTTTAGAGATTCCCAATACGGACCCAAACGTTTTGGTCTTTAATCAATACTTCGTACAGTCATACGCGTATGGGCTGTTGTGCCGGTAAATGGAAGAAGCGGATCTGTAAGGGATCTGACAGCTCGGGTTGCCGCTCACCTGGTGTTCGCTGAGGGCTGAGCTCTCGATTCCGAGCCGATGGGGGTTGAACATATCCCGAACATTGGGGAATGTCTGTTGCTGGTTGCCAAAACCGTGTCCCGAAAGGTGATTTAGATCCCCTCCGTGGTTCAGATACCACGAGGCTGTCTGCCCGCCGACGCCGGGCTGCTGGTGATGACTGTTGGCGAGGACGCCCTCCTGGTTGGCAGCGAGGTTCACGGAGCCCAGCGGTGAAGTCGCTCCGCTGTGATGATCCGAGGCTTCCTCTAAAGTAGCCGGCACGCACATGTGTCCATGGCGCTCACCTGTGTACAAGCTCATGGCCCGCATGCTACACTGGTATCCCGCGTTAGAATCCATGCCTTGCGTGCAAGCCTGGCTATAAATTGAGGACTGTGTCTGAGGGTAGCTGAGGGAGAGGGAGGGCACCATACCGGTCCTGCTCGATGACACTGGGCTCAGGTCCCCCTGGGGAGAGGACCTTAAAGTCATGATGTTCTCAACGCTGAATCCCGAAAGGCCGCTGCTGGACGTGTGGTGGTCCGGTATGGAGCTCTCGGTGGACACGGACGGGGTGGAAGCCATGCTTCTCGGGCTGTCCTGCATCACGCTGCCGCCGTCGGGGCTCATGGTCTCCATTTTCGTTATGACAGGTATATCTGGAGAGGAGGCCTCGCTCTTGATCACTATCTTCTTTTCCACGGGGGTCTCTTTAGAGGGCACCTCGGCTTTCGTGGCGGGACCCTGGATTTTGCCGTGCTCCTTGGGCTGGGTGCTGCGCTCATCTTTCTCCCGGCCAGAATCCTTTTTCTTGAACCGCCTTCGTCGCCTGAGAAAGCTGCCGTTTTCGAACATGTTGTACGAGTCCGGGTCCAAACTCCAATAGCTCCCTTTCCCAGGCTTTTTATCATCCCGGGGCACTTTCACGAAACACTCGTTCAGGGATAAGTTGTGACGTATGCTGTTCTGCCAGCCCTGTTTATTTTCACGGTAGAAAGGGAAGCGATCCATGATAAACTGATAAATTCCATTGAGTGTGATTTTCTTATCGGGAGCATTTTGGATTGCCATTGTAATCAGAGCGATGTAGCTATACGGAGGCTTAACCAAGTCCTTGGGAGCAGTCTGCTGGTGATGGTAAGGTCCATAGGATCTTGTCATGCCGGTAGTGTACTGCTCATGGCCCGAATACACGCTCATTGGAGTGGGCATGTTACCATAACTGCTGGCTGTCCGGTAGTAGCTCTGCTCGCTCAGGTAAGGCACGACCCCCAGAGCGTTGGGATCCGACACCGGGTAGCGTGCTTGCATCATCGGTGCTCCAGACACAAAGTAAACCGAGCTTCTGAAACCGAATTGTGACTAGGATATCAAGAGAAAGAAAAAAAAAACAGCCTGCGAAGAGGTTTACACCTACAAGAGCTCGTTTTCTCGGGAGTCCCTTCAGCATCAAAACTCCCGTGTATTTTCTCCGGTTCTGCGCAAATTCTAGGCTAGCCGCGCCACGCTTCTTTAATAGACATTAAAGAAAAATAGCCGATTGAGCTAAGTGCCAGAGCGCCAGCGTAAAGTTAAACTCCTAAAACAAATTTGGCAAGTTTCAAAACTCCTTCAGTGAGCTGTGCTTTTACTCGAGAGTCGCCACACCCCTCCTCCAAACTTCTGTCCAATAGGAGACGAGCTGGCCAATATCTTGACCAATAAAACTGAAAGCAGAGTCGCAAACGTTGGGCGCTAGGACCTGCCTAAAAAAATATTTAAAAAAACTCTTAAGCTAAAAAGGTTTCCAGTGCACCATATCTAGTAACACACTAAAATATAAAAATGTATTAAGAAATATTTAGTTTATAAAGCTAGAAGAACAAATGTATTTGCAAGCTTATTTATTAAAAAACGGCATACAAGACGTAATCTTCGTTGTTCCATTTTGCAGGTATTTCCTAAATAATTTGTCTTAATTTTGTTTTATTTATTGTAACAGAATTTAAGTGCCATTATATCATCAACGGCTTTGTAATAATTGGTAGATGTTATAGTACGTGTTTCTGAAGGGGCAGTATATCTTACGTCTGGGAGCACCTTGAACGTATTTTATTCCAAAAACGTTTTCCTCGTCTCATAAATTACGGGATTCAATTAAAACTAGAAACAGTAGAGAAATTACATCTTTTTAATGCGGTCTTTTTTTCATTATTGCAGTTGCTTTATAAAAAATATATACTGACAGAAAAATGCATCATTTTTTTCTTTTAGTGGTTTTGAAGCCGTTAGTAAAACGAATACACATCTCTATCTCAAGAAAAGTTAGTTAATTGAAAATATTTTTGATATAATGTTTATAACCCAGGTACGTAGCATGTCGTATGCTTACTTGTAATCTAAAAACACAAAGTGTTGTACTGTATGTTGACATACATGTACAGAAGGGTATTCAGAACTTTTTCCTCTCCTTTACTGATAATGCAGAACTAGTACGGATTTACTTTACGAAGTTACTTTCGTGTTTACGTCTTATAATGAGCATATTAAAACGGAAAAATGTCCTATAACTGCAAAATATTATTAACAGTAGCCAAATATATTTTTGAAAATGTAAATATATATAAAGGAATATTTTTGTAAAATTGTATGAATATATTTGTTCAACGTTATTGTTTTTTAAACAATAAAACAGAAACAAAAAATCAATAAAGAATAAACTAATAAATAACAAGTCTTTAGTTTTCAAAGAAGAGACGGCGCTTTTTCATACCACAAAACTTACAAATTCTATAATAATTCGCATCGCAGGCTTTGTAAAGAAATATATTTAAAATAAATATTTTACTTTACTTCACAGTATTTAATGTTTGTAATAAATGTAAAATTCCAGCTGGGTACTGTACATCCGAGACACGTTCTCAATATCAAGAAATGCCTCAATCATACCTGCGGTCCTTCGTTGCTTTAAGTAGTGCTTAAGATAGAGCGAATACAAATACTGCTTTGAAACATGTTTAACGCCAGAAAACGACTTCAGTGCTGTTTCTGGTAAAAACATGAGGATTGTATCTTGAAAAACATTTTCGGATACTGTTGTTCTGGCTATAAAATTACATTTTGGAGAAAAAAAAGTAAAATCTGAGAAAAAAAAATCCTTGTTAAGAACGACCTTATTCCTGCTCCTGCCTTTGAAAGTTAGTCTTTCATGACCTTTCACAGGTCTGCTCAACATTTTGACATGTTTTGAGCTTTTAAAGAAATGTTAGTCTCCGCTTTGTATTTATGTCCAGGACATTGTGTCAGTATAAACCGAAAAACATATGGTTCAGTGCTAATAAAAACATTTTCCTGAAAAAAAAAGAAAAATAAACCTTAAAATATCTTACGTGGAACGATATTGTAACCAACATGCTCTTTTTCGTATTCGTCTTTACATACACTGTATATGCCCGCCCTTAATAAAGTCCAAGCAGGGTTCATGTAATTTGGTAGTAAATCTGTTTGCAATATAGCAGTCCAGCTAGCGCCGTTTCGGATTTACATGTATCGATAGAAAAATAATCCAGCTCTTTTCTTTCCCAATTGTTTATAGAGCATTTCAACGCGACGTTGAATTTAGTAAGTTTAATTGCAAACGAAACTTATATACATCACGAAATAATTGAAGTCTGAGAAACCCGCAAATGTTTTATTATAAAATCATCATGGATGTAAAACGAATACAAGTTTAATCCTTGTTAAGGATTGAGTCTCTGGCTCCACCTGGAGATAGATTGTAATACAGCACCACTCCTGCGCGTCTCTCATTTGTTTTGTTGTGTGTCTGTGTTGCCCTCTAGTGGAATGTATCCATGTTGTTCAGTTGAAATCTAATAAAATCACAAATAATTACATTATTAATAATACATATTAAGTATAATATTGTTAATAAAATAAATTTGCAGTATCAAGCACACAACCTTCCATTTTCCGCGCTTTAATCCTTAGAAGGTCACCAGAGCCTATACAGGCAGGCACAAAGCACAAATCGGTACTTCACCCCGGATTGAAAGGCAGACTGTTTGTAACAGGCAGGGCACACACACGCACACTCTCTCGTATGTGGGTCAGTTTAGAGACATCAGTTAACCTGGGTAGCATGTGTCCGTAGAAAACACACGCCGATCAGACGAGCATCCTACCCAGGTTAACTGATGTCTCCAAATTGACCCACACACGGGAGTGTGCGTGTGTGTGCCCTGCCTGTTACAGACAGACTGCCTTTCAATCAAAGGTAGATCGGATTCGTGGAGCTTTCCTGCAAAAACGCAGTTCTTAAAAAACTAAGATGGCGAAATATTGGTGAACAGAATCTTTTTTGTAACAGTACATTACTTTTAAAGTGAAAAGGGAACGTTGCTGCAGACAACCCCATCACCAAATAAGGACGACCAAATAAGGACAATCTGCTGTTGATTATAATTTATTGCCCGCGTTTCTCCCACTTTCTTGTACGCTTCCAGTTTTTTAGGTAATTAGGTTTCCAAATTTTAGGTAATTTCAAATATCCACATACCTAACCTTTCTCTTAATTGAGCCGTTGTCATAACCCGAAAACCACGTTTAAAACAGTTACCGCATCAGAGTGGGGCATCTCAACGGCAAAGGTCTTGCTGGATTTCGAACTTAATCTGTCAACTGAGTAAGACCTAAAAAGACAATTTCACGTGTTATCTAAATAATTAGTTGAGTAATTCATATCAGAAATGAATCGAAGGGTCTCCAAATCAGCAATTTCTACTAAATGGCATCTCTCAGACGTAGCTGATAAAATAATCAAGAAATGTGTGTTGAAGAAATTCTGGCTTTTTGAAGGATGGGGGGATTTGTGCTTCAAGAAATTTAACAAATCATTTGGTTATTTTGCTCGCAATTAAATTGTTTGAAGGCATGCAAATTTTGATTTAATGGTTATCGATACATCCTGAGAGACGGAGGCCCTCTGGGAATGGTGTTGAAGCTCCCATGTCCTTCAGAAGTTTTAAAAGGACAAAAGTAATTCAGCAATTCAGATTACATTTGATCTGTTGCTTTGTGAATTTTTCAGATAATTTCGTCTCGATTTGGAAAAATGTTTGTGGCTGAGCGTCTAAACGTTGCTTTTAGGTAAAGTGCTTGATAATGGATTGAGTGTTGGCTCAAATCTTTTGAAGAAATGGCAAGTGTTTGACCAACGTTTGTTATCCTTCACGATAAACAGCACATTTGTAACCAATAACATAAAACGTGCTTGTATGTCTTCGCAGTAAAGAGTGGATTCCAATTAACGCTATTGAAAACCCGCATTATTCAACCGCTGGTATAACTGTAACAGAGATACGCTTGAACATGCTTTAGAGACTGTTCTCAGTGTAAAGTCAATTTCAATCAGATCTGTAGCACCAACGCCGAACTGTGCTGCAGGCAATCAGATAAACGCTGGATCCAGTAACGGAGGAGGTTAAAGCAGAAACCCGATTGGTCTTACAAAGCAGATTCCAAGAGAACACGATATACTTTGTATGGATCTGGCAAACGAGGTTTCCTGAGGTTTAGATTTTTTTTTTTACACTTGTCTTAGAAATACTCTGCCAGTGCCGTTAATAAAATTCAAATGAGTAAAATGTACATACAATAGAGACCATTACAAAGGACTGTTGATATAGATGTAATGTCATTTTTTGTTCGTTACGTATCTCACGGCTCTAATGAAGAAGGTGATTTGTTTCAGAATATGACCACATATTTAGCCGTACCAATGGGTAAACTAATCGATTTAATGCCCCAGGCGCTATTGTATTCTGTCAGGACATTGTACTATACAGCTCCTGCCCGTAGTATTAGCAGGAAGCCGGCTGTCCTTCAGAAAGTTCAATAGGTTCAAACCAGTGATACGGGGAACCTGGATGTCTTCAGTCACCGTTAGGGCACCTTGCAAACGTTGACAAAGCCTTTACCAAAAAAGAAAACCTCATCCTATGTTGTAAAATCAACATTCGTAAAAAGCGAGCCCGTAGAATACCTTCATGGCAGCGTATGGCATACAATTCTGCATTTTAAGATTTTTTTTAAAATGAATATCATTACTTATGTCAATTCTTAACGCAAGTGTGATATTATGCTTACGTTGGGGGGGGGGGTATCCTTAGAGGAAAGGATTTCTTGAAAGTGGGGGGTCCCTCCAGTCAGGAAGATTTAAACCCCAGAATACCGTGCGTTGAAGCCATTACATTTACGCTATGCTTTCACATTTGTCCATGGGCTGCACAACCACAACTGCGCGTCTTTTTGTGAAAATACGGCAGCGGGGGGGGGACCGAGGCCGCTGTCGGCGGAAGTTGAAAGATTGTTTACATCCGCTTGGAGATGGGAGGGAATGCGGGTTTAGGCTGGCGCTGAAAAATGACGTTGTCTAAAAAACAAGACCGGTCAGGTAGATTTTGCAAAAGGAGTATACAGGCCGCCGAGAAGCTAAGAATTGCATAACGCCGAGATTACTGCTGGAAAGCACAGCTTTTCTACACATTGAATTTTTGACGAAAAAGCGTGTTGGTACGGACTGGGTCCTGGAGCGTTTGACGAAGGACGGCTGAAACGCACATAAGGAAAACTTTGAAAAGTAATATATTAACCCGAACTTTTGAAAACACAGCGAGTTTTCCGTTATTTTTTTTCTCCCGCTGTTTTGTTAAAAAAAAAAAAAATTAAAGGGCTCAAAGAAGGGCGCTGTGAAAAACATTTCCCCATCTTTTCATCGATCGCGTCCGGGTTTTCTTCGGAACCGAGCGGCGTGCGTGGCTGTGTTATGTCCGAGTCGGGTGCGAGCGCCGGTTCTGTCGTGTCGGACCCACAGCACTCCACGAAACTGCTCCGGGCCCTCCGCTCGTTCCGTCAAGAAAAATGTTTCCAAGACGCAGTTCTGGTCCTCGACGGTGAAGAGATACCAGTCCAGAAGAACATCCTGGCAGCTGCTAGCCCGTATATCAGGTATCTTTTTACCCTTCTCCTTTTGTTGTGTTCGCGACACAAAGCAGTTGTAGTTAATCGCTGTTTTTTTATGATCCCTGTAGATATTTACTCTTGCTTTCCCAGTGACTCGTTCGTTCGAGGCTGCTCTCAACAAAACAGTGTCACGTTTGTTAATACGAGGGTCCCATGACTTTAGTTTTAAATGAGACACCTGCACGAGCAGTTCTATATATTAACCAGTTTAGGATCCGATGGGCAGAGAATCTCGTTTTGCAGTGTTTGGGCTTTGTTGCCATGATCTAATAGGCTGGTGGAACTCGTGGCAGTGCATTAGACCACCAAGTCGATTTATATTGGTAACAGCTTGTCGTATGGTAATTTGTTTTAGTTATTAATTGGACGAGTTTGTTATTCGATACCTTTGGTACTGCCGTGTAGGCTGGCAAATGTCCCAGTTGGCACTTTTCACGTGGTTGAATTGTTTTAAGGAGGATTGTGCTTCTTGCATTTTAAGACCATATACTGCTTAGAATTTGACCTGGCTGGTCTCATGCCTTGTTTTGATTTCTGACAGAAAAAAACAGCTGCCAGCACGATTTACTGAAATTCCAGCTAGCTCAAGCTGGCGCAGTTTTGGAATGTATAGTTTACACGAGGGGTTTGGGTGCTGAGCAAAGCTTATGGCTTTAGACGCTTAAACAAGTAGCTATCGGCTCCTCTTTAGCCGTAAGACGTTTAACCAGCCTCTCGCAGGGAGGGGCTGTTTTTTGGGTGTGGCTTTTTTTTTTCTCTGTTGCTGTAAAATATCCACACTATTGCTTTGAATTTATCATCGGTCTCGGTAAACGAGAACGTTAAGGCACTAATGATAGAACATCAGACTGAATAATATAATTAAACGTGTAATCTGTTAATTTCGGAGAAACGAACGGAGAACAATCTCAGAGTATTTGTAATTCAAGTGAAATCAGTGGTTCAAAAGTAGAGAGCCCAGAAAAAAGGCTTTTATTAGTATCCAATATCTGATCTATCAGAGGAAACAAATAATGACTAACATGCAAAGATTTGCAGTGGACAAACAGCCCACATCACCAGAGTGCAAATTACATTTATCCCCAATTAGATGACTCAGACTGATACAAGGTCAGCGTTAATCATGTTCTCAGGATACTGCCAGATTCCCCAGAAGGAATGCTGTTTTGTATTTGTAAAGCTAAACCATGATGCAGATCTGATTTTTTTCCCCCTGAAGTAGTGCACCCGGAAATTACCTCACCAGTAACTGTGAAGTGCTTCACATTTAGGAAAACCATGCTACACTTTAATTGAAGCAGTTTGAGGTGCCACAGTGCATGGAATTGGTAACATACTTTTTTGCCACCAAAAAAGAAGTCTAATTTTAAAGCTAAAGAAAGATCTGCTGTAAAGAGATCTTTAGTATCTTTTCATACTGGTTTTATTAGTACTGTGTAGACCAGAATATTGCATTCTACACACACCTGATCAATGCTGTATCCCTAGGGGCTCCACAACACCCCCCTTCGTATCCAGTGCTCTGAGGTGCAACAGTTAACAGAAATCCCCTTTCTAACGATTGTATCTCTTTTAACAAAAGGTAAAGGGCCATTTTAGAAATCTCGGCTTTGTGGTATATTACAGCAGACCGGAAACTGGGTGACATAATGTATAAACAGCACATTTGGAGGGGAGCAGGCATCTAGATTTCTGAAGATTATGTCATTGTCAGTGATGGGAAGAAGTAGAAAGAAAACAGTGGAGTCGGCATTTCCCAGCATGTTCTCTGCAACCAGAGCCGTAGGCTCTAAAAATAGTATTTAATACATTTGACATTATCTGCAGAACGACAGAGGAAACTCAAAAAGGTTACAAATGAGAGGAGACCATTCAGCCCTTTAAGTCTGTTTTGAAAGTTAGTAGTTAATTGACCCAAAGAGCTCATCCAGGTATTACTCAAAATAATAATAATAGTAGTAGTAGTATGCTAATAAAACATTAATTAAAAAAATATGGCAAATCATGATTCTTGTTTAATCAAAAAGGTGCTGAAGTTTCAAATTTATAGATTTGAAATGCCTTGTAACATAAATTCTTTTTAATCACTCTCAGACTACATTTAGACTCTTTTTCAGGGCCACGAGTAGGCGATGGAACAGACAATTAGCTTCATTAAGATTCATTGAGCTTAAATCAATGTTTTGATGTGCTTGCCTACTCAGCTGAATGATGCTCTGCAGTTCTTTATATCAAGACACTAGTTGTCATACAGCTGCAGAAAGTATATTCTGAGGACATTTGATTTTATACCTCACAGCTGCAGTGCATGTACAGTAAATGTAATTTGTGTAACAGGAAGGAGATGTGCAAAACGTATTAATATAATTGTTAAAATTATCAAGACAGTCAGTTACATTATTTCAACAGATATACATTTTAATTGCAATTTCAATTTAAACGTGGTGCATTGTTAAATGTGTGGTAATATCTAAAGCCCATGCTTTGTATTTCTTCATATGCCACGAGAGAGGGTGGGAGAAAAAAATGTGATTTTTTTTAAGAAGACATTTTTGTATAGAAGTGGCCGTGTGTGCAGGAGCACCTATTTGTTTACCAGTCTCTTTTTACTCAGGCGTTAAGTTTGTCATTACCACAAAACAACTTGATATTTTTAGTGGGCTAATAAAATAAAGTGTTTCCAGATGTTCATGTCAGCATAAAGTTTATAAAAATGCAATGCAGCCGTCCAGGAACTGCAGTACGTATGTCTCTATGAGAGTTTGCTTCCAAATGAGCAGAGGGTTTTTTAGATTATACTAGTTCCATCTGTTGAATTTGTTTTAAATTTGAGTTAGTGATTTCAGTCTTGTACAATGCACATTTTCTATTTGTGGCCTTACAGGACAAGACTAAACTACAACCCACCGAAAGAAGATGGTTCCATTTGTAAGATTGAACTCCATGGGATTTTGGTCTCCGTGATGAATGAGATTCTGGACTACATCTTCACTGGAGAGGTGAGGTTATTTGTATTGGGCCCTGAGGTCTGAATTGCTTGATAATAGTTTGGAAAGCTCCGTAGTCATTTACTTGTACAATTCGGAGTTTGTGCATAAATGTTTCAAAAACAATATTCCTCATTAGTCCTGCTGGTGTGGCTTGTCTTTTGTGTTAATTATTAATACTGAATACAGTGCAGGCTTTAGAAACATTACAGTACACATTTATTGTAAGTGCATTAAATGTGCTTTGTTATCCCCACAAAGCTTTGTTAAAAGTCTCTAATGTATTTGAAAGAAAATTTTAACGAGCATCAAGGTGCAGTCTTCTATGTCATTTAATAACCACTGAGCATCGCTGGCAAATTCTCAATATCTTGAAGTTAAGTGTTTAGCAGGTTCGTTTTTTTTAGTTTTATAATACTTTTGCATCCTTTGTACATCCTGTGAAGTGCTTATGTGGCTGGATAGCCACAAGGATAGCTCTTAAATGTTTCTTAAGAGGTGTTTTTACATTAAGTCAGCAACATCTGAGCATCTGTAGCCATTACATTTTAATGTAATAACTGGTAGAGTGAGCTGTCATTCAGTGGAATGTGTCATTCAGAACTGGGGATCTCATTAAGTTATTTGAAAGGTTTCTGAGAATTTCAGCAAACATCCTGGGTAATGTATTCCAGACACCCATTACTCTTTGTGTAGAGAAGTGCTTCCTGTTCTCAGTCCATAAGGCACTACCTGTTTAGTTTTTCTTTGTGTCCTTGGAACCTTGATGCGCTTTAAACCCAAACCTGTCGTGGACATGACTTGCCTTTTAAACCAGTTTTTCTTCGAACTCCGTCCAGGGCAGCAGTGCCCTCTTTGAGTCTCCTCAGTTTTGTGCCCATCCCCCTTTTCCGGTGTTTTCCTCCGGAGCTCATCGCATCCCTTCCATGCAGATCCGGCTGGGCGAGGAAACCATACAGGACATGGTGCAGGCCGCAGACCTGCTGCTGCTCACCGACCTCAAGGCCCTGTGCTGCGAGTTCCTGGAGGGCTGCATCGCGGCGGAGAACTGCATCGGGATCCGCCAGTTCGCCCTGCACTACTGCCTGCACCACGTGCATTACGTGGCCACCGAGTTCCTGGAGACCCACTTCCGCGATGTCAGCAGCACTGAGGAGTTCCGCGAGCTGTCTCCCGAGCGGCTGAAAGAGATCATCTCCCTAGAGAAGCTGAATGTGGGCAATGAGAAGTACATCTTTGAAGCTGTGGTCAAATGGATAGCCCATGACCTGGAAGCCAGGAAGGTAAGGTTGGGAGTCATGAAATCAGCGATAAGGTTTTTGTAGGTAAAAAAAAAAAACAGTCAACATTAAAGTACCACTCATTTTTTAATCTTCTTCTTGTTTTTTTTTCTCTTCCATCCCCTGTTAGTTGGTCTATATAGATATAAAAGGAGAGATGTGAGTTCTCGGTATGTTTTGTGCTTCTGTAGATGTTGACCGCCGTACAGGCACAGAGTGATGTTGCTAGTTTGAGCCACCTCTCTCCTACCTTCAGATTTGTCTCTGTTCATTAGAGCTTACAAATTGAATTGCCAAAAGATGCCAGGCTTGAAGCTTCAAGTCTGGATGAGATCTTGCAGCTGGAAAAAACTGAAATGGAACTGCAGTCTGCAACAGAAAGGGAGTCTGGCCTGTTTTCCTGCAGATCGAATAATCCTCTGATTTCTGTCCTGCCATCTCGCTGTTGTACAGGTGTACATGAAGGATGTGATGTCTGAGGTCTGGGTGAATGGCTTGGACCCCAACTATGTCCGGGAGCAGATGCTGAGCGATCCACTGGTGAGGGATATCATCCGGGAGTGTAACAATATTCCCCTGAGCCCACATCATGGAGAGGCACTCCTGGCCACCTTCAAGCCCCGCGGATACTCCGAGTGCATCATTACGCTGGGCGGAGAGGACCGGGCGTAAGTCGGGGGAGGGGGGGGACTATTAAGTTCTTCTGAATTGCTGAGCTCAGAAACAGTTAAAGGCATTTTATAATTTATAATAAGTTGCTCTTTTTTATCAAAATAAACTTTATTTCTCAGAATGTATTTCACAGTAGATACACATTCTAACAAATGGTTAAACTTACAACAAATAAACAAAATTTTCTAAAATAGGTAATTGTCCATTATCAGTCCCTCCAAGGCCCACCTCATGCTTTTGTCCATGCCATTTCCCTGTCCCGGCTCTGAGACTGCAGAGTAGGAGCCCAGGGAACAGGGATTTCCATTTTAGTCCCTGTACAGGGCCCAGAGACCCTCCCAGCGCTCCCTCGCTGTGGAGAAGCCCCATTTGGAGACGTTGCGCTTCATCCTCCCTCTAAGGTCCGCAAGGGTCCTCTCCTCCAGCTCCCTAGCTTCCCACTTGACGGCATGGGTGTAGGTCTCCGCTCACCTTTCTGCTCTGGGCCCAGTGTTTGTCTACTGGACCAGGTGCCTCGTCATGTTGGAGAACCACAGCCTGACAAAGTACTGGTACTTGTGGCTGATGGGCTCCCGCAAAAAGTTACTCTTTGGGATGGGAAAAAATCCATGCACATGCCTCCCGGTGGGCTGAACTTGTAAAGGGCCGAACCTCAGATTGAGGTCTATGACGCAGACGCCTCAGACTTTGGATGGGGTCACAAAACAACTCTGATGGAGATTCCTCAAGGGGCTGTACACAACTGCGTCACCTATAGGGTGTAGGATAGGGATTAGTAAACCAGGGCTGTCTTTATGTTCTGTGAAACAGCATTGCCTGCAACTTCCCACATGCCTGTAGACTTGCAGTGACCTCAGTGTGGTACACACCTCCCCTCTGGTCAGAGGTGATTGTGCTGAGTGTTGCTGCAGAGCTTTTAACATATCAGAAAAAGGAGTAGCTCGATGGGTGGGCAGGCTGCACCTCTCCCTGTGGGGGTAGAGGCGTGGTTGCCGTCGAGCTGAGTCATAAAGATATTTGCCTATCCAAAGCAGAGGGGTGAGTCATAAAAATTATGAGGTATATCAACATTATATCAGTATATCAAAGTAAAGACGAGCGCTGTGGTTGTGCAATGGAATTGCCTTTTCCTGAGCTGTAAAAGAAGTGTTCCATTAATGTACAAACATCTCAAAAGTTTTTTAGTGTTTATCAAAATAATCGTAATGCTTTATTTGAATGGGACTGCATACTGTAACAATGTCACAATTGCTTTAAAATCACTACACAGCCCAAGATGGCGTGAAGAAAAAACATAGCAAAATAAAGCTTACCAGTAATGTGCTGTGTAAGGAATAATATTAAGTACTCTCATATTGTGTATAAAAAACAAAAAACATTTGATCTAGTTCCAATAGATCAGATAGCATTTAAAGTTCACTTTGTCATTTTATAATGGTCATTGAATGTATTTTTATTTCTTCCACAGCAGCCAATTTTCCTATAATTTACATTAAAGCAATTTAGGAAAATGAATGAGACATACAAAGTTCTTATGTTATTAAAGCTGCTGTATACAGTTGTAATTTATATTTGTCTTAAATATGGAAATAGGCTTTAGATACTTGTTCCTGCATGCTAAGTGACCGGGTTTGGCGTGAGACTCGCAGCAGGCAGCAGTGTGCACTTAGTTGTCCTATTAGAGAGAATAAAGAAATCAGTGAGAACTGATTTGTCTCTGTATCTCACAGTGAACCATTCTGAGACACTGATTGATCCAGGAAGGCATCTGGGTGAAGCAAAGTATTCCTGGGGTTAGCAGTTCGATATGGGATCCTGAAAAATACCTACAAATTAAAATCATTATAAACTTAGCTCAGTTTCAGCTTGCAGGACATTTATTTCACTTATACAAATTTTGGATTAATTCCACATTTTAAAAACCTTGTCAGATTTGACAGGGTGAGAGAATCTCAGATGCTCTATGGGATGGTGTTTCCTTATACAGTACTCAGACATGAAGCTCTGACCAGTCCCTCCATGAATTTTCCCTCTCTGCTAGTAAAAAGGATGCCTACTGCTTTGTTAATTAATTGCTCTTGCAAAAGAATGAATTAATGAGAACAGCTTTTGCAAAAGAATGAGGTAATGGGACAGCTTTTGCAAAAGAATGAGGTAATGGGACAGCTCTTGCAAAAGAATGAGGTAATGATGAAACCTAGGGAAATGGCTATCATTGCTTACTCATGGAATCCATCTTAACCTTTTCTTAAACACATTTCACAAAGGAGGAAGGAAAACAAAAGTATTTAGTACTGTTTTTAGTACTTAGTTTCCTATTTCTTGTAAATACTGCAATAGAGTAGGTCAGTTTGATGCACTGTGAGTCTATATGCTCATGCTTGAACATGTCTCAAAATAATTCTAGAAATATAATTGTAATGTTTGACTCATTAGTTGCTGCAGTTAAAATAATGTATATTGCCCATAGGCATGTTACATGACTCTGCTATGCACATCGTAGAAAATTAATGTGCAATCAGTTTTTGAAGGCTCTGCTTTAAGATTTGTTTGCAGCATATAGAATTTGAAATAGGATAAACTTCCTGGTCACATTTGAAACTTTTTCTCTTTTATTGCAGGACTCGTAAGCCCTCTGCAGTCATGCGCTGCATGTGTCCACTTTATGACCCAAACCGCCAGCTCTGGATCGACCTTGAACCAATGAGCACTGCACGATACGGCCATGGGGTGGTAGCAGCAGGTATGCAAATAGATTGCTCAATTCCTTTTTATCATCACTAACAGCTTAATATTTTGCGTTTTGACAACAGTCCCTAAACTCTACAAGAAGAGTGGAAAGACCAGTCATCTTTCCCAAGCCTGTCCATATGTCAAAATGTATCGTTTGACAGCCTGCAAGTTTCTCAGTGCCTGAAGGAGGGTTAGTAATAATTGGAGGGGCAGGGTGTCTTTCAGTGACATCACTGGAAGCTTGCAGGTGTCCAGCCAATCACAGGAGTTGTTTCAGAGAAGGCGGGACCCTAGCAGATCAACACCCAGCTGACTGCTCAGTTGCACTCTGTCACTTGGGACACAGTTAGTCTTAATAAAAAGCAACTGTGGAAGAACAAAATGGAGAGTAGATGTACTATATAAAATACTGAGCAGTGTTAGGCAGGAAGTAGCTGAACAACATGTTTAAATATCAGCAGAGTGGATATATTTATTGGTACAGATTTGGATTAACTTGCAAACATAAATTGCTACTTTAAAATAAAATCTAAAGCATAACTGGCTGTAAGAGCAGTGATTGCAGTAAAAGTGTAGTGTAGAAAATGTTAATAGTTTCATATAAATCAGAAGTTATGCTTCTCATTTTGTTCCCACTATTTTTAAGCAAGATAGCTGTGATCTATACTGGAAAGGCTTCCCAGTATGTAGTATGGCCTTCTCTGGTTTCTGTTCTATTACATACAGACTGTCTAGCCATTTTATGTTCTTTAGTCTTTGATGCGATAAGCTTTTGAATGCATTGTACTGTACGTGGTGACAAAAGCTTCCATAAGATCCGCCTTTGGCATTTCAGCATAAATCAGGTCAGCTGGTAGTACTTGGATTCTTTATTTTCTAATTGCTTTTATCTATTAACCATAACGGGGAAGTGTAGGTTAAACAATTTCTTTCATTAAAATGCAAATGTGTGGTGTCGTCTCTGTGACTAATGTCTTTGTGGAAAGGACAGGAAGACAGTTTTTAGTTTCTCCAATAGAAAGAGTGCAGTAGTTGAGTTTAAGGTCAAGTCATTCCAAAATACATAAGTGAACCATATATTTTCACTGCAGGTAAATACAGTTTGATGCTCTGTTTGTGTGACAGACATTAATGCTCAAGGAGCATTGTCCACAAATTGTTATGTAGGGGTGTCTCTTGCACTTTTTGGACTGACCACACAGTGGCAGTGTGAAACAGTTATTTTTTTAAAAAACTCCATGTGAATCTTGCCAGCTTTAACAAAACTCTAAAATAAGCTTTTTGTGGTCAGATTAGGCGTTGAAATTCCCTTAAAACAGTTTTTCATTTACTTAAGTGAGTTTTTTCCAGATAAGCTGATCCCAGATAGATAGATACATTTAAAAAACGTTAGCTTTCCTTTGGCCTAGTTACTGTCAGTTCAGGCATGGATCATGTCAGTGGCTTTGGAGCATGCAGCACCCCAAACAGTGGCAAACAAATGGCCGAGTCCTGCTGGGTCCTTTGGAATATGTAGGCTGTGGTCTTCATAGCTTTCAGTGAAACTGCGGCTCCTGTGACTTAATTGTATATCAACAGGCTAATAGTAACGTCAGTGAGAAATGTGCTGCTTCTCCAGGCGCCATCATTCTGGTAAGGCCGTGTGAATCTTGCAGCACAGCATGATGAGCGACCCACAAGAGTAACTGGGGCACTACTCCAGGAGTACTGTTTCAGATGCTCTGATTTAAGGTGATTTATATGAGAAACTGGACTGGAGCTCTCCAGGACCTTGATTTAGACCGCTGGCTTAAATTGTCTTTGTGTTCGTTACTGCATGTATGTGCTGCCTGCCCTTCAGTGGACAGGTCTCCTGTCCAGGATGTAGTCCTGTCTTGCTCCCTGTGCTTTCAGGATGGGCTCTAGATTGTCATGTCCCTGACCAGGGATGATCTGTTTCTCATAGTGGAATATAATATGAGGAATAAATACATCTAAATTAAGAAAAAATGAATCTAAATGAAGAAAAAAGACATGGGGAATTCATCAGTCCGATTTGCTGCTAGCACCTTGTTTCTGGTTACTAGGACTGTTCAGTCCAGTCCAGTCCAGTAGAAACAACTTTTCTGTGCCCTGTCCATTTAGAGGGATTCCTGTTCGTGGTAGGAGGGCAGGATAAAAACAAAGCTTCCCTGAGCTCAGGCGAAAGGTACGATCCTGACAGCAACAGCTGGAGCCCCATTCCCCCCATGAATGAGGTTAGTGCTGTAGTTATTAAAGGAAATTTAAGTATCTTTTCTCTGTGACATTATTCCCGTCACCTTTTTTATAAAGTAAGATCTAGCTTTAAGGAGCAAGAAGAGAGCTAAAATCAAGGGAGATTTGATTTTTAAATGATGAAATTGATACTCTCATTATTCTTCCTGATGGTTATTACATTAACTTGACCATGTCTGAATTTAATTATTTTGTCTGTTACCAACCAGTACTCTTAAGTCAATAAGTGCATGAACAATACTGTGTTTTGGGACAATTTACTGTAGGATTTGTGCTGTATTTTGTTTTCTAATTAGTTTATTATCTAAGGCATTGATGTTCTTCTGATTACTGTCAAGTAAAATTGGATTCCAAGTAATGAAATTATTTGATCTTGTCTAGTACCATTGTAATGAGTCCTTCAAAAGATGCATGCTCAGAGATGAGATTAAACCTGCAACTGCATTTCTAGTTAAGTGATGTTATATGAGTTAGAGATTAGTCACAGGAGTAAAAGATAAGTGATATCTACCGTCTATCCTCTAATTTAGGACTATCCCATCCTAGAGGACTACACGGCAACTAAGGAGCAGTACAGGAATTATTATTCCAGCGGTATCAAGAAGCAGTTCATAATGTTATTTTATAGATATGTTTCCCTAGTGGATTAAACGTTCATCACTATTTTATGTGATTTTTAATACAGATTGGTTGGAATTCTAGGAAAATAAAAGTTGCACAAGAAGATATTCTAATGAAGTAAATGCAAATATGGTGGATAAGCCATGTATTTTTCTATAAAGGAAAATGAGCGAGTTCAATCAACGGGGGCTTACGTTGTGATCAGGGTATGCCTATGATCCAGGCATCCTGGGTTTAAGCCTGGTTCTTGTCACTAGCCAGGATTCCCCAAGTAGTGGCGCACAGTTCCTCCAGGGCTCTTGCAGGCATGTGGTGGTGTTGGTGAGGGTGGTGTCTCTCCTTCTATCAGTACAGAACCCGATGCCCAGGTGTGAATGTGTGTCTGTGTGTACCCTGCAATGGACTGGTGTCTGTTGCTTGCCAGGTTAGGCTCTGGCTGCCCTGCAGCCCTGTTTAGGATAAAGTGGTTAGAAAATGGATGAATGCATTTAAACTTTAAAGTATTGATGGCAGAGAACCTCTTTATTAAACACCTTTTTTCACAGTGTGCTTTTCAGGTTTAAACAGGTGTGCTGTTAGTGTGCTTGCATCTTGTACCCTTGCCCTTTTGTGATTCTTGATTCAGCCCAGGCACAACTTTGGAATAGTAGAGATTGATGGCCTGATCCATGTCCTTGGTGGCGAGGATGGGGAGAAAGAGTTGCTCTCCATGGAAGTGTATGACATGCATGTCAAGACCTGGAAGACTCAATCCAGCATGACCATGGTCAGGAAGGTGAGTGACCATACTGTAGATCCGGGGTTGAAAAGGTGCAACCTTTTTCAGTGGTGGTCACATTTTAGCCGTGAAAGTTAAAGCTCTCATGCTTTTTCATTAATTTGAAAATATAGTTCTGGTACTGGGGTGTGTTCAGTAACTTAGAAAACAGTGGCTCATACTGTTCTTCATAATTTTTGTTAATTTGGGATTCATGTGTTTTTTACTTCTTTACATTTAATACCTAATCGTTTGTGTTTTAATTTCTAAATATTGCTGTCAACTCCGTATGATTTCTGTGTGACATATCTTATATACATATCAGTATATTGTATAGTGCTTTATTATGTTTTCCAGATTTATTTATTCTTACAAAGAAGTTCTCTTCTGTGAGATTGTACCTTCAAAGCAGCCTGAGAAACCTTGTTTGTTTTCACAGAGACTGTTATACCAACCTTGCTTTAGCATATTTTAATAGTTACAGAACTAGAATTGGAATACATTATGAAATTTAGCAGTGCCACATAATAAAGGCATTTCTCATAATAAAAGCACTTCTTCCATTTCCTCAGATGAAAATTACTCCCCACTCTGACCCTATGCTTTCTACAGATTGGATGCTATGCAACTATGAACAAGAAGATCTATGCAATGGGTGGAGGCTCTTATGGGAAACTCTATGAGTCAGTGGAGTGTTATGACCCGAAGACACAGCAATGGACAGCAATCTGCCCTCTCAAGGAAAGAAGGTACTGAGTAAAACGTTGCATCACAGTTCCAGATCTCTTCCATATTTGTCCACAGAGATATTTGTTATTACTTTAAAATAAACATCCGCTCTGACATTGCTCTTATTTACTTTGCACATTTCCCTTGTTAAACAGCAGGTTATTTTCCTTAGACTGGCCAGCTCAGAGCTGCGTACATCCAATTCATCAGACTGCACAAAACAACATCAGCTTTTGTAGTCCATGGGATCTACAAGACAGGAGGAGCATTATAATATATTTTTTACATAACAGTATTTACTGGTTCTAAATTACATAAAACATGGGCTTCAAGCCAGTGGAGACTTTTCGGCCCTCAATTCTGATTTGTCTGTAGCTTACTGTTATGCGGATCTCACTCAGCTGGTTTTTGTTGGTTTCCAGGAAATGTGCTTCAACAACATGGATTCGTGGCTTGTTCCAGAATTGCTTCCTGTTTGCAGTCATAAACGACCATCCTCTCTCTTTCTGTGTGTGTTCTTGTGCCCTTGTTTCACAGCTTGTCTTGATGTAATCCTCTGGGTTGACTTTGTCAGCAGCCTTTCAGGATTTCAGTTCTGTTCAGGACTAAAGAGGTTCATTTCCCTTGACATGTCTGTGTGTGACACTCCTTTAAAGCCAAAAATCAATTTACCAGAATGATTGGTAACTGAATTCACTTAAAGAAGAAGTTTTAATCTCCCTAGATATTTAATGCAGACCCTCGTCTGGACAGGCAGACATATAGGAACTGTTCTGATGTGCTTTTTAAAGTCTCACGTGGTGGTTCAGGAGATTTCTTTTTCCCTAGTTTGTTTTAGAATTGTGTTTCTGCCACATACACATTGCTTGTAGTGAATGCAAAATTTTTTTTTTTAAGCAAATATAAAAGCAAAAGTTTTACTAACACACAAGGAGCCACTTAACTTTGTGTCACACACTCCCGTTTCATTGATAAAAAGAGGATTTTTGTAATTGACTCAAGGTGGGGGGGGGGGGGTAAGACATTTCTCTATCCAGTATCTCCCTCAGTCTGTGCTAAATGGAGCACATTTAAAAGATATGCTTGCCTTTGAAAACAGTTAACAACGGGTGTGAACTTGTTTGTTTAAATATCTGTCTTTCTTTGTAAAGAGAACTCATGTTACCTCTGCCAGGCAGTGTGCCAAAAACTACAGTTTTCCAAGTAGCAACCCACAGCAGTGTTCTCACCATATGGTCTGGGCTTACTGTGAGGCCTGCTAATTGTGCTAATGAAAAAGGCTGCAAAAGGTTTTGATAATAACTCCTCCTAGTTGGATGAATAGGCTTTCAGTGGCTGGACCATGAGTGGCTGTCCTAAGGAGCATGAGGCTTTCATCTTCCTTTGATAATCCCAGTTGTCCATTTTGCTGAGAACCAGTGCAACCGGTGGAATGTGCAGATCTATCTCACGAGCCATTACCATAGATAACAACCTCATTTGAATGTTATAACTCCGCAGGGGATCAGATGGATACGACATGTGAATATTTTAGTACCCTGTGGGATACATGCCACATAGAGATCAAGCTGTTTGCGCTACTCTCTGAGACACAACATGTTATGCAGTAGAAATTCTTGATATTTTAGGCCTCTGCAAATGCTGTGTGAACAATTGGCAGAATTGGGGTAGGACTGGGATTAATGGGCCAGGGCTCTCTTGGCATTCCAGCAAAAAGACTCCTGTGACTGGCCAGGTGCCTGCGGGCCTATGGTGACGTCAGTGAGCAATTAGCCTCCCCTCCTGGGGCTATAAGAAGTCTACAACATGTCCATTGATGAATAGCTCTTCCAGTGGGCGTGTCGCAGGAGCTGGTCGGTGTGTTCTGTTTTCTCTCAAGTGAGACTGGGAGTCATTGCCCGACAGCCAGGTCTTAAAAGAATGGCCAATTCTAATTTGGGAAACTGTATAATTGAAACAAATTAGCCATTTCAAATTTATTAAACAGTGCTCCTTTGAAATCTAATTAAAAATGAATATTCTACTGAAATGACTAAAAGCAAACTTCTGTGTCATAAAGAGCTGGTTTCCCACTTTGTAAACATAGTGCTCTGGCTTTCTTGATTAGCGGTGTTGCACTTGAGGGGTGTCCTTTCTGCTTGTGCCAGTTTTGTCCAGATATTTTGTTTACCTCTGAGTAGACAGTTGTGATCATCACCCCCTCCAGTGGCAAAAAGAAATTTAACTAGATTTTTAAAGAAAGTATGAGTCTACCTATATCATTGTTGTTTCTCAGGAACTATGTGAAATTTCCTGATGATATCAAGAATGCTCACAGTTTTAAAATGCATGCAGTACCTCAGTCCTTGATGGTCACAATGCAGAAGATTATAGAGGTCTCTTTATATGTGGTATTGTGTCCTAATAGGAGAAAACGAGGTCATCCGGGTTTTCAAGCACTTGAGTGGAAAACTGTGGACACTAGACCCTCCAAGACTTTCAAAAGGATTTAGTTACCGTTTGTTAGAACAGCTGGCCTCAGGGGTGTTCTTTCTCTCACCAGGTTTGGAGCAGTGGCCTGTGGTGTTGGACAGGAGCTGTATGTGTTCGGTGGGGTGAGGAGCCGAGAGACAGACGACCCCCAGACCAGCGAGATGCTGACCTGTAAATCTGAATTCTACCACGATGAGTTCAAGAGGTAATGGAACGCGTCAATATCTCAGACTTGTCTTAAGAATGCGACCCTCCTTAGCCATTTGGTAAACAGCAGAAGTAACTTTCCCAGTTTTGAGCAAAACTCAGTATGTGGAAAATGCATCAGTTGTGAGCTATTGGTTTACCTTTGTTCTAAAGACTGGTTAGTTAATATGACTTTAAGTGTTTGCGGCAGAAAATGAATGGGAATTTGTGCACAGTTATTTTCACATTTTTGATTTACTAAGTGTACCGTGCATCATAAAGCAATGAGCAGCACAGCACTGTAAAAAATGTATCATAACATTGGCTTCACAAAGATAATTGGTCTAAATTGCCTACAGATTTACTTTGTTACATCTATCATCTGCATATTCAAAGCCACTGGTTATGTGTTATAAATGTTTCATGCTTTTTATTTCCCCTTACCAGTTAATATAGTATTTCATAATTTTGTTGACACTAGTCACCAACAGCAATAGATGTGTCAGCAGTAACCAAACCAGCAACGTTCTGCTCTTATAGAGAAAACTCAGATAAAATAAGACTGAAATTGACACTGATGGGCTTGGTGCCTAAGATTTTGTCTAATCTTATTGATGTAATGACCTTTCAAACAGGTAGAATTTTCTATGCTGTAAATATAAGGAAAAAATGTAGGGGCCTTTTAGTAAAGTCTAGGCTTTTAGGAAATAATGTTTGCATGACAATTTATGCTTCATTCCTAAAATTCTTTTTTAAGAACCTCTTAGTTAATGAGACTTCCCAAAACAAGCACGACGTGGCAAGATTCATCCGTTTTTATTTTCCTTAGTACCATTGAAAGAACACTCCAAGCAATCATAGCGGTTTCTGCAATATGAGTCATAGTGGCGAAATACGCGTGCCTGTACGACACAATAGTTTTCAGCACAAGAAAGAAGCTTTGTTGAATTTGGACTAAGGATCAGTGTAAGGGTGCAAGCTCCTGGCAAATATGGTAAAAGGAAGCACTGTGGGAGTGGGGAGTACTTCTTTCCTGATGCAGAGTTGCCCACACATAAAGGGTAGACAGGTTGACAGGCAAGTAACTCCAAAGTAGCATGGTTGCATCCACTCAACACCCACACAGCAGCATCTAGCAGTGCCCTTCCCAACTCCCCATTATCCGTGACCCTCTCGTTACAACTTTTTACTGCCTGTGCTCCGACGCCAAGGGTTTCTCTCCCAGAAACCTGGGCTGCGCAGCTCTGGCAAGGGAGCTGGGAATCGCTGAAACATGCACACGCCTTGCCAGTCCTGCTGCAAGACCACCCAGCTTTGACCTCAACAGATTCTCCTCGGTTTGTCTCAACCACTGTCGAACACTTCTGAACCGTTGTGTTTCAGGTGGGCCTGAAAACCCTTTGCATGCAGTACCCGTTTGCAGATGGCCCACCGTGGTTACATAGAGCACTGTTTTGTGTTGCCCTGGAAATCTCTGTTATGCTTAATAACCCATCCTGAGCATCGCTGCATTCTGTTTGTTGTGATATGACTCAGGTGATAAGTAAACATATAAACTTCATCACTGACATAATAATGATCTTTAATTTTGGACAATTTGTATTAATTAGTATTTTATCTAGTGTTTCATTTTCTGATTTTTTTTAGCCATACTCTCATGGATACAAAGGTATTGTCCATTCCTGAGGTATATATACTGGTTTACAACACTTTGTAATGAATATGTCTTTACTGTTTGAAAGTTACTTGTTTACAATTACTAATGCTGTAGGTTATTGTATTGTCACGTCCCACTGTTTCACAGTGGTTGATATCAGCACCAACACATCCTGCCAACGTGGTGTTTAGATTGCTGCAATCTTAACAGAATTGCATCGTCATATTAAAGTCGGCTGTAATTTCCAGCAAGCACATTTAACACATTGCTGCGGCTGTGAAAAACAAAGGATTTACTCATTCATTTCCTTATTTTAACTTGCAATATTTAAACTCCAGAGTCTGCTTATGTACTGTTGGTATTAAGTACGTTTTTAAATTTATAGCACCAGGCGAGATATACGAACAACTGTGTTTGTAACAGAATCTAAAATTAATTGGTAGAATGTTCCAACATTATCTTTTTTTATGGGATCTCTAGTGCCATGTACCACATTTATAAATATTCACAATAAGCATTACAGTAGAATGTTAAAGAATTTCTTAGTGCCTTTATTCATCATGCTTTTAAATCTTGTGAAATTCTTTTTCTTATTATTTTCGAAGGTACAAGGTACGAGTGTTTTGTTTTTCCTTTCAGCCTTTTTATTGAGAGTCCCAGGTGCTTGTGTACTGTTCCTTTCTTGCTGAGTAGTGAGTGTCAGGCTCAGCTGCCCTCCACCTGCTGTAAGTCTGTGGAAGCTCTTGGAAGAACGTCCGTGTGCATGCAGGAACATGGACCTAGGGCGTGATTATCAGCATCAAGCCTATAGTTTAGTCTGATAATACCAAAACAACCGCCAAATTAATTTCAGCTCTGTCAAACGCAGATGGATTAAAAGAACATACTGTCTTAAAGGAGACTTGAATTTGAAGTTATTTAGAATCCTGAGAGGTATGGTCAAAGTATATCCAACGTGGAAGCTAAAACCATACTTAGAATCTAGAATAGGAAGTTCTTCTTTACGCAGAAAAAGCTTTCATGCCAGGATGCACAAAAAGTACTTTGCTGCCCACCCCCTCCAATCCAGGACCTCTTTGTGCAGCACGTCGATGAGAAGTAAACAACGCCTCGAAACTGAACAACATGATCCTCCTCCCCTTTTCACAGCCAACAAGGCTGATCATTGCGATTATTCAGATAAAGATAAAGGGTTGTGGTTGTCTGTTATTGAAGGCATTCTCTTCAGATCATTCAGGAACCACTGGCGTAAGATTCTTAGATGAATTAGTAACCTAATTAACCTAACAAACAAGATAGGCATATTGGCCTCTTGGTTTCTAACATGTAGTTTTCAATTTTAACTTGCGATGGAGGAAGTACTAATTTTTGTCATCTTCAGCTTGGAAGTGGTACTAGGGGACATCTGCCAAGACTCAACTTTGGTTTTATCAGTCTACAGATGTAAATGTATTCAGAGTACAAAAGGGAGCCCCAAAAGAAGAACTGAAACAAAACAAGGGTTACAAAAGCCTTGTGGCTTTGCTGCTGAGAAATAAAAGTAACATTATACAGAAGTGCAGGAATTCATCACTAGATAAGTTCTTTCTTATGACCACAATTGTAGTTCAAATATTGTTACATGGTGATGTCAAGAAAGTGCTACTGTATCACTGTTACAAACTGATAGTAAATACCTTGAGGTAATGAAAGCTGGTAGCCACAGCATCTCCATTATGGAAACTGTTATTCTGTCTATCTCAAACTCCTAAACGAATATAACATAAGCTTTTGGTGCAGCTCATATTCCTCCTTTGTTATAGTACATGCAGGTGCCATTTTTTCATCTTTGAGACTATGGGGAACTTATCTTCATTCTTTGGGTTCTGTAAAAACTTTTATGTTTTTGGCTTGGTATTCGTTGCATTTAGAATCATTTGTGACATAAAGGGCTGACCTTAATTTAGACTCCACTCCCTTCCACAAGCGTCTTGTGACCCGTCAGTTCTCAAGTTGCTGAGGTTTGTGCTTTTTCCCACATCTGCTGTGCAGAAGCAATGTAACCTGGAAGTGGGTGATTCAGAGCTGATGGGGGTTCAAAACATAAACAGCTCCTCCTTTCCAGATAAGCAATAGATGTCACCCTCCCCCTATCCATCACCCTTTTCTTCACGGGGCTGGCTGTGGTTAAAGTCTTGTCAGTGAATCATGTTTACAATTCTATGAGCTGACCATATGCGATGTTTGGCACACATCTTTCCAGTATGAGGGTGTGTGCAGCTCCTTTAATAAGCTGCAGATTGTGATTAAAGTTTTCCTTCAAGTCATTGGACAATGTATGCAGCAGAGATCTCTAAAGATTTCCCGAAAACTGTTTTTCCGTCACATTTTCTTTACCTCGGTTTCTTGATTTCAGGTTGTGTGATAGGATCTTTGACGTACTGTTTTTTAACGTAGGTCATAAAAATAGAACTCCTGTTCTCACAAACCATGCCAAGCCACAGTCCTGTAGCATGTCAAAAGCTATTTTGTTTCTTTTTGTTTTATACACATGCCAGAATCCTATGCACTATTTTCAGTCTTTTCATACTGCATTGTTCGAAGCTGTTTCTTAATTAGAACTAAATTGACAACAATAATGAATGCCATACCCTTTTATTCTGTAAGTAGTTTGTCTTAAAAAAACAGTATGACACAAAAATAGAGAGATTTAAAGAAAATGTCTCCTTTGAAGGCCATTACATTATTAAAATGGCCATGCACTAACTAACCTGTTTAATTAGCTAGTAACAGGTGTTACTAGCTGACAGGCAGGCTGGCAGGCTGACAGTTTTTGGAACAACAGTATATGCTCCTCAATACGTAGCAGTTAATCAGCTTTTGGTCTGTTTTTTCTATTGTTACCACTCTTTAGTTATTGGTTTCATGTTGACTTCAAATGCCATCTCTCTGTCTGGAGCTGGGGTGGAAAAATGTTATTTCACTTCCTACCAGGGCTTCTTCTTCCTGCTCATATTAATCGCTGATTAATCATTAATCACTGATTTAAGGTGCACCCCATTGAGTGCAGGTATACAGTAGCCATATCTGCAATATGTGGAGGCTTGAAATGGGACACCTTAGGTCAGTTCAAAAGGGACCTTACTTCCTGACAACCGATTGACAATAAAGATGCAGTTTGTCATCTGCTAAAGCAACGTTTTCTTTAACCTGATCAAAAGTTATGTTAAGTGATCAGAATTTTCTGGCCTCAGTGTGCACTGCAGATTCTTTTAAGTTCAGAAATATGTAAATGATTACTTTTCTGGTGCTGTGTGCTTTGCACCCTGCCTCTACGAGTGGCACCAGATAGTATGATTATTCCATGCTGCAGCAATTACAAAGAAATTTGAGTTTCGTCAGAAGGCTTGCATTGTCTGGTGAGGATTTAATAGCTGGGTGCCTCAAAAGTACGTCAAAGCTGAAGAGGTCTGCAAGCACTGTTGCCATTGCATAGTCCAACATATTATTTTTTTTCTGATTAGATCATAAGATTCATATTAATAAACCCAGAAAATGCCTTTGAACTGGTTTGGTTTCTTTCTGACTGCATTTGATTTCCAGCTGAAACTCATAAAGGCAAAATGTCTTTGGAACCTTTCCCTTAATAATTTCAAGTCTGCTGTTAAAACTATTCACGTTAAATATTTTTTTAAGATTGTGTTGGCAGGGGATAGAAAGTCATTGGGCGCACAGAAGTGCAATGTGATCCCTGCATCTGCTTTCAATTCTTTTTAATGGAAACTGTATGCATAGCAAAGCCTGCCTGCGCTAAAAAGCTATTGCCATCCTCTGATTCGTAGACGAACCTGCACCACACCTCCTTTCTCTGAATTTAGCTGGGTCCTCATAGTCTCCCCTCTCTAGGCCTTTGTCTCCAGGGATAAATTGAAATTATTCCGGACAGCAGTGGAGGGAGGGAAAGGGGCAGTAGGAATGTGGAGCCAGAAGTCAAAATAAATCCCAGATAAAATAAACCGTAGAAGAATCAGCAAAAAGGAATAAGGATTTAATCTAAAACAAAGGGCAAGAAGGATGGGTGTTTATTTAACATTCTTGTGATTACCCTTTCCTCTACTTTTTAATGGCTGTAATATATATATATAGAATTCTGCTGCTGTAGGGGACAATCTTTTAACTCTTGTATGCCGGAATTATATTGTGCTGTAATAATGTCACCTTTAGCAAGGTTCTTAAGTTAAATTAGCAAAAGTAAAAGGTTTTGTAGAACAGAGTTTTATGTAACAGTGGGGGTGGGTAGCGGGCATTTTCACACTGTTGAAATCTGAGCAGTTAAATCTATTATAAAACTTTTTTGGAATCACAAAATACTTAAATATTTCCTAGCGCCTATTGACTGCTGGGATCTGCAGTGCCAGTGTGTGTGCAGTGGAGGCTGGGGGCCCTGCTGCTGGTGCACTCAGACCCATGTTTTACGGGTCCTTGTGTAGAAAGCTGGTAGTGAGTAGCACTGTGAGGGATGAGGATGTTTTAGGGGGGATTTTGTGTGTGTGTGGGGGGGGGGGGGGCATTAGATTTATTTTTGTATTAGATTTTAAGTTTGGAAGAATCTGACTTTGGAAAAAACGAGAGACAGATCAACTCCTCCACACCCACATTCAGAGCTATTTGTCATTTGATGACGTGCTACAAGCTCCACAGTGCCTGATAAGAAAGTTACTTCAGACTGGAGGAGTTAACTTCTTCTCATTAACGTCACTGGGGGCCTGAAGTTGCCTGCCGATCACAAGAGGTGCTGTTTTTCAGAGAAGGCACTGGCCAGTAAATCCAAAATCCCCAAATAATCCTGGTTTCAGTCAGATGAGGACGCAACCCACATTAAAAGTAGCGACATCTGGATCATGTAAGAAACATTAAAGGAGAGATTGTGATATTCTAAATGCTTATGTCTTTGGTTTAAAAATTTCGCTAAACTGAATTTTTCAGAAAATTCTAATTGGTTTCCTTCAACTTGGTTTTGGTTTATAATTGTGTTGGGGGGGAATGACATTCCAGGCTTAGGAATTTTTTAGAAACCTTTATTTTCTAGTGTATATCCAGCTACAAGGGATGTTAAATAAGGGAGTAACAAGGTGTTGGACACTCATAGCTTGTATCTTACAACACCACCCTTTTTTCTAGCGGTTTGGGTCCTCCAAGATAATTAACAAAGTGTCTTCTAATGTTAGTTGAGCAAACTGTTGAAAATAAAGTAATTACATGAAACGAGTTTATTGCACAAGGTATATCCATATGGCCCATGGCCTCTGCTTTCCTCACAGGAGATTCTTTGGGTGCACTGCTGTGATAATTTCTTCCCTAGGGCAACACATATTGCTTCATGTTATGCTAATTCAAATTAAGCAAATAGATAACCTTTAAAGTCTAGACACAATACAGGGCTGAGACCTGGTATACACTTGACTTACACTGCTAGGAATATGTGGAGTTAAACTATGAATTGTTTCTGACTAGTCCGTTGTTCCTTGGTCTTTTATGTTGTTACCACTCAGCACTTTGTGATGCATGTCAGCTTGGGCTAGTTTGACGTATGATTTTGCTGGGAACGATACTTTGTATCTTCCTCTCATCACTTTCCTTTTATCGAGCTTTCCTTTTTACATAAGTGTCTCATTGCACAAAAGGTCCCTTGTGGCTCCTGAAAAGGGATAGATGCACTGTGAAAGCTGATTTGCAGATGGTTTGTGTTATCAGCAAAAAGGCACAACCAGCTGAAAAAAAATCATTGCTGAATGAAACATTTTCTTGCACTGCAGATTTCGGCGGTCATAAGAGAAACGGATAGCTTATTTAAAAAAAAATGCCTATTCTTATTTTAACAGCAAAAGACAAGACCCTTCCTTCGCAGACTAGAAAAATACACTCTTTGTGAATACTTTGAGCTTGAATTGGTAATTCGTTACAATATGTATAGCTAGAGCTCCAAATGTGCTTCCCGTTTTAGGGTGAGTTTTCCTCAGTGCTCTGCAATCTGAAAATTACATTTTTAGTTCTATAATCATGGATTACACAATTAAGGCAGCAACTCCTTTTGATGCAGTGCAATTCAGGGGAAATATTACATTGTGTGTGACTTTCAGGTGGATGTATCTGGATGACCAGAATCTGTGCATTCCAACCAGTTCGTCCTTCGTCTATGGAGCAGTACCTATTGGTGCCAGTATCTATGTGGTTGGTGATCTAGATACAGGTGAGTAGAAGATGCTTGTTATTAATGTGCATGTAGTTTGCCCTAACCTTACACTTCTTAAATTGGGAAATGCATCTTCAGAACTGCAGTTGATCCTATCTAGTTAAGGTGTTATGTATTACAAGTTTAATTTGATAACCTTGTGAGATGCATCTTCCTTAACTCCAGTTACTTTTTTTCTAAAATGCTAGGATTATTGAGTTAACTTTGCAAAAGAATTAAGGAAAAAAAGGCAATCACAGATTTTTAGCTTTCTTTCCACGTGGGTGCATACAGATTTTCAGCTGCATTTGATTTGAAGTGCATATCTTTCCACACATTGGTGGTAACAGTTTTTGGATTAATATACGTAATGTCCAAAAAACTGTAGGGGAAGGTCATTCTGTTTCCAGCGCTTTACGTTTTGTTTATAGACAGGTTTAAGATCCAGTTGGGAGTTCTCGCAGATTAATAGTAGTCTTGGTCTCACAGGTATATCAGTGCTGATAGGATCGGGCAGATCAGTGACTTCATATTTACAGATATCCACATATGTGCCAGTCTGTCCGAGGGGACACTGGTCTGGTTAAGCAGATTGGTATTGGAAAGGAAAACCGGCGAAGCTTTGTGTAGTGTCTGATGTTGCCCTGGGAGAAGTGGAATGCGTGCATCCTCTCCCTCTCCGCCTGCTTGAAACGCGCCAACAGCACCCCTGTCTCTGCCGCAAGGTACCAGCTATGACTACGTGCGGGAGTTCCGGAGGAGTACGGGCACGTGGCACCGGACCAAGCCCCTGCTGCCCTCCGACCTGCGCCGGACCGGCTGCGCCGCCCTCCGCATCGCCAACTGCAAGCTGTTCCGGCTGCAGCTCCAGCAGGGCCTGTTCCGCATCCGGGTGCCCTCCACGTAGGCACCCCAAGGCCGCCGCCTTCGTCAACCGGGAGGGAACAAGATCACCAACGGCAACGAAGCTTCACGCAAGGCATTCGAACCAGTATTACTTGTCAACGAGCGACATAACGAAAAACCACAATGCTTTGCTCTGGTGTCACTAAGGAAATGCAGTGACTGTGGCGAATGCTTAAATCTTCAGACAACCTAGTACGACTAAGTCATTTGCGATACTTTATTGAGAAAGGAAAGCACTAGTCAGGGGGTGATACTTTATTTGAGGGTTTGCCACAGGTAAAACCGACTAAAGGAGATCTTTTGTTGTTATTTTCAGTGGTCTCTGCACTTACTAATCTGAGGTGTGTTTTAACAAGTGACCGTTCTTCATCACCAATTTTACTAAAGGAGGAATAGTTTGATTATGCAACATGTATTAGTGTTACCTACCAATTCTTTGCCTAGGTGAAAAAGTTCCATAGTGGTGTTAGTCCTGTATTTGACTTGTAATTGTTACTGCAGCTGTGTCCAGGTTTGTAATGGGGTTATTTTCTTAAGTGGCAGATTGACAAGTTTTATAGTTGAACTACTATATTTAAAAGAAGCTGGATCATGTTCAAAGCATTTACTTGAGCGAAAATCCAAATATTAGTTCTTCCTGAGAAAGAATGACACATAGGTACTCCCAACAGAGAATGACATGCAGCTGTGTGTTGAGGTTCTGAGCTTTGTGTCTTTTGTTCCGTTGATTATGTCCTGTCAGGGGACATGCGGTACTCTTATCGCCATGAAATGCATTAATTGGGAATTTTACATTTAAAGACATGCTTGCCATGCTCTTCATTCCAGTCCCAGCTGGAAGAGTAAGAAGTAGTGGATGCTATAAAAAAAAAGGTAAAGGGAACTCTTTCAGGGAGAGAAAATGTAATCTTGAAATGGTGCCTTTAAAACAAAGGGTTTTAATGCATGTTCATTCCATGTTCATTCCATGAAGATAGGCACAATATTTAGTGAAATGGATGTCTGCTGTGTCGATTCTGAGGATCAATGTTGTGGGTCCTTAGCCAGGTCTGCTGCTGTCTGGGCCATCTCCGGGCGCTGGTTATGACTCAGGTAGCAGTTACAGGATTGTCAGTATGCAAAGAATGGACTGTTCATTTCAAACACTACCACTTCAATCTCGGCATTGAGCTTCTGCCAACACCATCATGGCCCTGCTGGAATATTGTAAGGAAGCAAGTCTGAAGCATGGATCCACTTGCAAAGCCAGGGTGCTTTCTTCATGATTGTAGCAATTCCCTGATGCCAGTTTTTAAATGAAGTGGCATTGCAGGGAGCAGCAGTTTATTGCAGGTGCCTGGATTTAAAATCATTATCCAATCCAGCGGGTTTAGAGGCAGTCCACTGCCAGACTGACTTTATCGGTTCACTTTGTAAGGATGGTTAATGCCTAGATTATTACTTGCATGTGGACTGAAAGCTCATTGATACTATAATTTTGAGATTTAGTATTTTAGTGTAGTTGCTGTGAGTACATATCTGAATAAAAATAAAAATTGAAAAGTGCAGTCATATGCATTTCAAAACATATTTTGTCTAATTTACAGCTCTGTCAAGATGGCAGACCTAAGCTTGGGACTTCTGTAGTTTTTTGGTGGCATTCAGAAGCTTGCACAAGATATTGAATTAAGGATAACCTCAAATGAGGTGGTACGTCATATATTCAAGTCCTTTGAGCCACTTTGTTCAGAGAGTCAAACTAATGGGAATCTTTTTATATAACTTGAAATAAGTATAACTTGGTTTTGGATGCTTGCAAGCTATTTCCTGCAAAAGGGGACCTGAGCACGGCATATTCAAGTTTTACTTAGGATTCATTTCCAGAAAGGGAGCTTTTTGTACATCTGCATGCATGTTTTTTTGTTCAAGAGTAAGCTTTAGTTCCCAGTGCCCTAGCATAATAACTGTTTATTTTAATGCATTGAATTATAAGTGAGTCTGTAATAATGCCTTATTTTTATTTATTGGGTAGTTAAAAATACAGTGCTATCTTAACATGATGGCCTTTAACTATAACTCTTTCAGTTTTACAGTTCTGATGGATAAAAAAACTGAATTTTTGTTATTGGGGCAGATGCTGTGAATGCAGCCGGCCTCCGGGAAATCAGAAACCTGCTTATACAATCTTCGGAGATTGTGAAAAATTGTTAAAGAAGCCAGATAATTCTAGGAAGTTCCAAGACCTCAAGTCAAGTTTCTAGCCCATGTAACAAACTCTGCAAATAAAGCAACTCTGTGATCAGAAAATAAGGCTTCTTTTGAAAGTAATGTCCCATGATTGTCATCCTGTTTGTTTGGACTGTACTATCCTTCAGTCCTCTGCATCAGCAAACAGCGAGCTAACTGCAGCAGTACAGCCTTTGACGCACATTGAGTACAGAACTCACAACTATGCTCTAAAATCTAAGTGACTTAAAACAAGTTAATTTGTTATAGCTAAAGCTGATGCAAAGAGGGACACCTGAAAAGATGCTTGCTAATGTTTTTTTTTTTCATGGCACGGGTCTCTCGAGCTCAACAGTGTCATGTGTTGAAGTGTTTAGTTTGAGACTGTGCCAGTCTTTGAGATGACGCGCGTGTTTGTCTCTGCCTTTTAAATAGAGCAGGAGCAGAAGGCGAGCACACAAGCGCACAAAGGCAGTGTCTCACTTTACCTTGGGGAAGGAAAATGAAGGGGTTGGTCCTAAAACCGTGGTGATGTAAAGTCTAGGCTGAGTCCCCAGTGAAAAGCATTGAAGCAATTTAAATATTTTTGTTGCAAACAATATCCATTGTCCAATTGTATAGGAGGATCATGAATAACAATAATAGGTTATTACGAATTTATTTTATGTTAGCTCAAGAGTCAAGAAAGCACAACTTGAATGTTTACAGGACTCAAAGACGTAGGGTTCTCTTGTTTTTTTCTTTCTGACCTCATTTACAGTATGTTCTTCTTTTAATCTTCCAGAGCTGTTATTAGTTTAATTAAATTGTTAATTCTTCTTTGCCCAGTTTTGGAATTAACCTCCCAAAACAAAATTGATATGTCGGCACAGTACTTAGAGATGCACAAAACATAAGTTTTCTGTGTAGTGATGGGAGTATTTTATTCAGAGTATGCTGTCTCATCCATTTTGTACTTCATTTGTTGGTTTTCTTCTTGAACTGTTGCAAGTATTTTGGTAATATACCATTAACATAACTGTCATCTTTATTAAAGATAAAGATTTTAAAATTTTCCTTTAAAAAGCATTAGTTACCCTCATGAGGTAATGTGTTGTAGTGTTTCTGTGTTTATATTTTTATGGAAAAGGAACAGCCGGTGAACGGAGTGTCAGTGATTCCTCAGAGGTAGGAAAGGAATTGAGATACACCTGATCCTCCTGTTTCATGTGCTCTTTGAGCAGGTTCTTTGGAAGAGTGCTTCAACCTTTCAGTGTCTGTTCTCTTCAATCTGTGCATATTTTTTTCTGTAGCAGTTTGTAACTGCAGTAGTGCTCAAGAGACTAAGAAGTCAAAGAATATTAATGTTCTAAAAAAGGAGCAATCATGTGCAGTAGCATGTGTCCAGCAAGCTCTGTTTGAGACATCATAACACATTCAGCTACAGAATTAAAAAGTTGCAGTAAAATGGACTGAAAAATTGACATTTTACCATCCTATGTCCTTAGTTCTGTTTTGGTGACAGTTTCTTCTCAGCAGAGACATAGCCCTTAAAACACATGACATCTACCCAATAATGAGACATCAAAAACCTTTCAGGTTGTGTTTGCTGTTCTGAACATTCGTGAACAGTTTCTTCTAATCTTTATTGAAGGTTTTTTTTTGTGACACTTTATTTGACAGAGGTGAACACCATAGCGTAGTACATTAACAGACCCTGGAGGCATTAAAGCAGGGTTTGTTACTGATGTTTGTTACATAGAGAGACTCAGGCAATCTTCAGGCAATTTCTAAAACAACCTTTTGTGAACATCAGACAGATATGACCCTCTTTTGTTTTTCCTTTTTGGCCTAGCCAGGATTGCACAACGGTTTGTTTGAGAAAAAAAGTATATTTGGGTCAGAAGAGTCGAGCGAATGTCTCAGCACCATCACCAGTTTCTCTTTTAACGAGAACTAGAACGACCAGGAAGCTTTATAGAAAAACATGCTAAATTTGCATAATACTATTTTTCTGAGAAGCAAAAGGATTTATAGCTACTGTATTTTTTGTATCCTTTTAATCCTGAAATTTGTATTTTGGAAAGTACTTAAAGATTGCTTTAAATTAAAGGGAAAGCATTGCTTTTTAATATTTTTATCCATTATGCTAATTTATTGTGTTTTAATTGCATTGCAGTTAAATTGCATGTCAGAGCAGTTCCTGTTGCAGTTGAATTACTGACAATCTCCATGCAGTTCTGATTTCCATTTCATGAACACATATTAATACATTTCAGTTTAAATATTTCATCAGCACATCTAGAATCCTGACAGATGTGTGTTCTGAGATCAGCTTCAGAGACCAGGTCAATACACAGGAACCAAAAGGCATTCCTCTTCTTCCTGTTCCATCTTAAAGGCTATAAAGAATAAATGAAAGCCAGTAAAATGTAAACATTGCCCTCTTCACCAAATGTCAGGTTGTCACTTGGTTGAAGTAAGAAACCTCTCTCAAATATGTATTTGATTTGTAATTGGCTTTATGAGCATTTATAAAAATTAAAATACTTGCTAGACTGTTATTTTTGTTCACCTTTTACAAGTCATCACTTTTACAGGAAAGGTATTTCCCTGTTATGAAAGAAAGGGTTTCAGATACATTCTGTTATATGCATGGTCCTTAAAATACTGGCAGCCTAGCTTCTATTTCATGTTTGTTTTATGCATGCTATATGGACATCACAACTGCAAAACTGTATGATTTTATTATTTCAGACACTCCTCACTTTACCTTGTAATTTGTATCTGTATCTTTTAACATAATCTAAATTTATTTTGGGAATACCAGCATGGGATGTCCTGCATTCTTATGGGGTGGGAGGAAAGGAGATGAAATTGAATTGCAATCTGCAGCTTGCATTTGCTGTTAAGATCTGTCTGGGTGGATCATTATTAGGCTCAGAAGAAAGGGGCCAGACATCAATACTGCTGAACTGGTCTCACTGTAGTGTAAAACAGCCATGTGCGAACGTTTGAACTAGGGAACTCAAGAATGAAACCATAGGAAGGAAAACATTGCCTTCCTGGGTTTTAAATTCTGCTTCAAGATTAAAACTAAACTGTGACAGGTTCTAGATTTCAAACTAGTGTTTAACTAGTCTGTTTATTTTTGTCTTTAGGATAATTATTTAGGATTATTATCTGAACCTCTTGCACCACTAAATTTTAATCCAGATTTACAAAGTCTGAATAGTTAAAACCTTTCTTGTTACTGGTTTAAACTATTGTATAATGAAGCTAAAATAAAAATTGGAGATTTGAATTTGTTTTAATTGTTCTGGGGATGTATTCAAGAGAATCCATTTTTTTTGTTCGTGATAGCTCAGTTGGAAACGTCAATAAATAGGTTGAGGATTACAAAAAAGGTTAAAGTTTACTCTGGCAAAATGTAATTTTGGTAATTACTGTAATTAAAAATGGAATTTGATTAAGTTTGTTGCATGTGAGAACAAGGATTTTTTTTAACTTACCATTTTTACTTTTAATGCTTTTAATGCTGTATGTAAATGTGAAGGTAACTGCTAGCCCTAAATCTATGCTTTTAACAGTATACGAGAAGTACCTGCTTAGTTCTAGATTTGTAGCGTGGAGGAGTGTTTAAGACTCTGAGCTCCAAACAGGAAGGTTGTGGGTTCAAATTCTGCTGTTGTGCACTTGAAAGGGAGCTTCATTCAAATTGTTTGAGTAAAGTCCAGCCGTATAAATATAATTTGCTTAGGTTAAAGGTTTTGGATAAATTGATAATATACAGAGATTAATCTAGGATTATGCTTTAACTATTCAAAGTAAATAAACCAAGTATTTTAATCAGAGGCAGTACAAGCAACTAACCTATGCAGACATTTAGCAATTTCTTATTCTTAGAGGATCAATATTTGAAGTACTCTCAGTATTGCTGTTATGTAATAAGAGAGAAATTAGTTTGTTCTTGAGAGGCAGTTTTTAATCACTATATAGTTTGAGTTCTTTGATATATTCATACAACCAATGTTACTTTTCACAACTGTTTTGCAAACTTTTTTACAGATCTGTATTTTGTAGAAAGCGGGCACTGTCTACAGAAACATTGAAATCTATCAATTTTACAAATACTCACCAACTGTTTGAGCAGTTTTGCTCAAGCTTCTCCATTGTCTTTGCTTCAGAAATGTAGTTTGAATTTTGAAATTTGCTTTCCACTGCTAGGCCATAAGGATGGAATTTTTTCATGTTCATTCTTCCTGACTTTCTCAAAAAGGAGAGAGGCTGTTTTAAACTAGATGGAAATTAATGATCATTTTGAGATCTGGAGCCCCATCAGAACATTGTAACATGAATTTAATTGTTTCAGAATGTTCGTGTCTTCCAGAAAATCTCAGGAACAGATTGGTATTTTTACATTCAGAATTACTCTAGTGTTTTTTATTTTATTTTATTCATCCAAATTCAAGTTTCAAAGCAAGCTCAGGGAAATGTTGTCACAATGGTTTTATTATTTGTAGGTAGTATTTGTAAGACTTTGAAAGCAAGATAAATCTCCTGCTTAGCATCCTGGCCAAGACTCTGACATAGAAATGAAAATAATTCTAATCAAGGTTTTAAGTGTTTTGTTATATAAAAGGTAGTTTGTCTTAACCTTCAGTGAGATTTTTATAGGACACTGGATGTTCCTGTAAAGAATCAAGAGTTGTTGTACCAAGATGCGTGTATGTACCAATATACACATTTCAGATTCAGTTTATATAATCTAATACAAATCTTAACATTTGCAACATATGTTCAGTAAGCACAGGCTGACTTGGAAGGATACATTTTGCAACCTTTTTCACAGCAGCTACATGTAATTGATTGGAAAACAATTAGGCCTACATTATTTTGAGATTTTTCTCTTCCTGCAATCTTTTTCATAGCCTTTCCTTTGTGAGTTTCTTTGTTGCCTACATTTCTCTCACATTATGATTTTACAAATGTATGGTCAATTTGTATAGAGGAGTCACATTTGAACGATCCTCAGCTCAGAATAAAATATATTCACTCAGCACTCAGGTGGCTGGTGCATGGCCATTCTACACCACTGGCTCTGGTTGAATTACGAGGGAACTGTAGGGAGGCCAGATTGCTCAAGCCCAGATTGGAATTTAACTAGAACCCCCTACTCTTATGTAAGTAGTAAAAAAGTAGTCAGCACTTTAGCTTAATATCTCAACCCAAGGACAGCTCTGAGTGTTTACTAAGGTTTGGAAATTCTTGTCTAAAGGAAACAGTGCTAATTACTGGATGGCCACCCATTTCTGCAGCAACTTGGTTTTCATTGGGAGGTCTCCCATCTCCATACTGACCAGCCCCAACTTTGCCTAGGTTACTGTGGTTACTGTGAGGTGTATAGGTCCTCCAGTGCTAGCATGTCAACCTATTATGGAGATTTTCTTGGAGGAGTGTATCTACATGTCTCGTTTCTCCCTGCCTGGTGACAGGAATGGTTTGTGTAGAGCCCGGGTTTAAAACTTGGATTTGATTACACGTTTGCAGTATACTGTATAATAAAAATAACTGCCAGCTCAAAGTTTATAAAGACAGAATCAGAAAAACAATCCCGTAGCTCCAGCTCAATTGAAAATGTCCTAAGTAACTGTACATAAGTAGAATAAAGGCTAAGCAATGGTTTATTGCAACTTGGAAGGTTTACAGGCTCTGCTGACACTAAAACAGGGTGGGGTTTTGATTATTGTTTGGCCTAGATGGTTGTATTATTTAATAGCCTTTGAGCCTGGATTTCCCAGGCTCTGCTGGCTTTTTGTATCATTTGTGAAGGGTCTAAAGCTAATACTTGTCCCAACGTGTAAGGTAGCAAAATTCATGTCACATAGTTGTGTGCAATAATTCTGTGACTGTAGTAAGAAATAGCAGAATACTTGATGTGATTCATTAATATGCGTCAAAAAAGATAGAAGTTCCTTTGTTTGACATTTAAAAAAATTATATCTTTCTTAACATCTGACTGATAGAGCTGGAAAGGCAGGTTTTAGGTTGGAGTGATGTCCAGGAGAATGAATTAACTTCTGCATTTGGCAGTTCTCATTAATCTTTTATAGCTGAAATTGTAGTTGAAAGAATGGGAACTACACAGGAGAAAGATGTGTAGGAAGAAAGCAGTAGTGTTGATCTACAGTGCAGATGAGCAACAATCCATGCAATCTATCTATAGAGGTGTGCAGATATTTTCATTTTACAGCTGTTGCTTCTATAAAATCCAAATCCCTTGGTTGTATGCTCCCAGATGTTTTTTTTTTATCATGCACTTTAACTGGTGGGTTTTATTTAATCATGGTTTATGGCTTTATTCTTTTAGTCTGGTCCTTTGATGCCACTATTGTTCTTGTAGGTAAGAGAATTGATTATTTACTTGTCAGGGCCAAAAGTATTGCTTTTCTACATTCTAAAGCAAGTAATGGTTTAAAGAGACCTACCTACCCTGGACAGACTTGGGCTCTCAAAGACTGGAATCCTGTAATTTCAAGACCATTTGGTAATCAGCTTTTATTTCTGAGTGCTGCACCAATGCCTTAAGGTTTACTCAGATTTTTTTTGAGAGTGTTAATAACATGTCATATTTTCTAGCTATGTTTCTGTAGGGAGACTTTTTGTCTTGCATGTTATAAAAATACACAAAGCACAAATTCTGGATTACAGCCCCCTTTATGTCAGAAATAAAATATGAATACAGTAGGGTTTGGAAAACAAACTAGCCAGTTATTTAAGTGTGGATGACTAATGTAAGGATTTATACTTCACATATAAACTTGTGGACTTTTCTTAACCTCTCTATTCTTAGTCAGTTTGATATAGCTTCTATGTAACTTTATTTTGCTGAGTTAAGCATAACATTCCAAGTCTTTTCTCTGACATTATTGAAAGACCATAATGTCTTCTTACCATGGCAAGGACTGTGTGCAGAAAACAGAAGATGTTGCATGAAAACCTTGAGTCTAAATAGTAAATAACTACTTGTATGTTAAATAAAGTGCCCTTAGTGTTAATGAGTTATTTATATACAACAGTGAGATAAGGTATAACAAGCTTTT